GCACTCATATGACAGTTGTTTGCTAATGCTGTTTATCACATCCTCACCACATTTTCTCTGTAATAGTGTGATTTGCATGGTTTTTCATCTACGCTAATACTATTAACACAAGCCCATTTGCCCTGCTTTGTGCTTTATGATTTTGACTCATTCATATATACACACATACACCCATAATAACACAATTAGGCTGACATAATTACAGCACACTCATCACTGCCCGAATCTCACATCACAAGAAGTGACAATGAAAGAGTAACAGACCATGCCATCTCCTACAATTATCTTTCTTCTATGAAAAACAAAGGTGCTTATCACACCAGTCAGATGTTTCAGATTGTCCTGTTCAAAAATGCTTCACCTAAGACCCCTATTTCAGTACAATGTCATTATGACACACACATCATTGCCCAGAAGAAGAGGAATGTACCATAGCATCCCCTGCTATTTTTTCTTTCTCCTGTGAAAAGATTAACAGGTCAGGATTTTACTATTTTTGCACTATAACAATAAACCATTTATATAAAACATTTAGGATAAAAATCTAAAAAGGATTACAAGACTGTAGAACAGGGGTAGGCAACCTGTCCCCTTTAAGGGCCAAGGGACTTCAGCTCCCAGAAGCCTCAGCCATGTTGGCCAATAGTCCCATGTTGGCCAATGGCTCCTGGGATTCTGGGAGCTGAAGTTCCTTGGCCCTTAAAGGGGAAAGGTTGCCTACCCCTGCTGCAGAACATAGAAAATACAGCATTCTCTTGAGAAGTTTTGTCCCCTTTGCCTAAGCGTCAGAAATAGTCTGAGGCTTCCTTGCTGAAGATTTCCTTGGGAATCCTCAAAAGAGGGATAACTAGATGAGATCCACACTGCATCCGCTAATCAATCATTCTTGCAATGAAATGGAATGAGACATTCATACTCAAAATAGTTACTGAAGGACAGCAAGAAAATGAGTCATTAACAGATTAATTCCAGCATGAAGAAATTGTATTCCCAATTACTGTATAGCACAGAAACACTGGGGGAATCATCATGCCATGTGATAATGCTGAGACAAAAGCAGGACTAAAGCACTGCTATGAGGGTACAGGTTGAGTATCCCTTAACCAAAATGCTTGGGAACCGAAATGTTTTGAATTTTTTTTCAAAGTTTGGAAGATTTGCATATACATAATGAGATATCTTGGAGATGGGACCCAAGTCTAAACATGAAATTCATTTATGTTTTGTATACACCTTGTACACAAAGCCTAAGGGAAATTTTATACACAATATTTTTAATAACTTCGTGCATGAAACAAAGATGTGTACATTGAACCATCAGAAAGCAAAGGTGTCACTATCCCAGCTACCCATGTGGATGATTTTGGATTTTGGGGTATTTAGGATTTCAGAATTCCAGATACGGATTACTCTACATGTATAATGGTGTGGTGTGATAAGCACCTAAGGCAGGAAACATTTAGCTCTTTTCTTCCAGAGGTTGCTGCCACTCTGAGCAAAACCATCAGTGATGTTGAGTATGTATACATATGCATGGCCAAGTGCATATTACAAGAAATTTAAGTAACTAGGGCAGGAATTCTATTGGTAGTCCCAACTACAGATCCATTGAACTAATGGGATTTATGCAAGTGTTGACTTACAACACTCAGCAATTGATTCAAAAGATCTATCATAAATGGGTCTACCAATAGGATTCAGCCCTTGATAGCCTGCTATTTTTACTTGAAAGCAGCTGCAAGGGGCTCTAAATTGTGTGACACTGGAAGATGGGGATATTTAACCCTTTTTTATACTTATTTCCCATGTAAATCTTTCCCTCATTTAAAAAGATTGCTAGACCTGTAGGGCAATATTCTAAGCCCTTAAACTGTACATGTCCATTTGTTCTGACAAATAACAGATATATATATATATATATATATATATATATATATATATAT